ATGATTAAGCGTATGCAGGAAGCGCCACAAGAGTTTCCTAACTATCGAATTACATAAGGACTATTGTTTGAGCGGACTGATGTGCATGATAGGCTTTGTATTCCAAATGTGGAAGAGATCAAAAGTCTGATCTTGGGTGAATGCCATGACACCGAAGGCCATTTTGGATGGAAGAAGACGTATGCGAACCTTTTGCGTTCCTACACTTGGCCTCGTATGAAACCCGACTGCATCGCTTATGTGCAGGGTTGTCAAGTGTGCCAACGAAATAAGAGCACTACCCAGCCTCCCCTTGGTCTATTGAAGCCTTTGCCAATTCCAACAGGTCCAGGAGACTCTATGTCCATTGATTTTATGGATACTAAAGTGAAAAGCAGGAATGAAAAAACGCAAGTTATGGTCATAGTTGACAGGTTTAGGAAGTATGTTGTCTTTGTAGCATTGCCAGCGGAAGCAAAAACAAAATTGGTAATCCGGGAATTCTTTAACCACTAAGTGAAGGATTATGAACATCCTCTAACGATTGTAAGTGACAGAGATTCGCAGTTCACGAGTGAACAATGGCAGCAACTAATGAACGTTCATGGCTCTAAGTTGACTATGTCATCAAATCGACACCCTGAGACAAATGGCCAGACTGAGCAAATGAACAAGATTTTGCAGCAAACTCTGCGTATGTACATACGTCCCGACCAGATTGACTCGGACGAGCATTTGCCTAAAGTTGCTAGTGCCTATAATAACTCTGTTCACCTGTCTACGTGCAAGACTCCGATGGAATTGCATTTGGGGTGGCGTTCACGCAGACCTATCCATCGCTTGAACCCGGATCAAGTACAAAAACTTCCACTAGAAAGAAGTGAATTTGCGATCCAATATCAAAAAGACCTTGAGAAAGTAAAGGAAAATATACTAAAAGCACAACATCAAATGATAGAACAGGCAAATAAACACAGAAGACCACCTTAGTTTGCTGTAGGTGATCTGGTATGGGTTAAGTCTACAGAGTTCATTCCTGAGGAGAACATTTCCCAAAAATTGCTACCAGCTTACAAAGGACCTTGGCAGGTTCTAGATGTGATTGGAGATGTGGATGGACCTTTTTACGTAATTGAGCTTCCTCTGCATTTACATACGTATCCTGTGTTTCACACCTCAAAGCTCTTACCTTGCGTGACGAACGAGTTGTTTCCCAGTCGCAGATCGGCGATTCCTCCTAGTACGGATGAGAAATATGATGTGGACAAGATTATTGCTGAAAGTACTTTTCAAACTGGACGCAGAGGCAAACCCCAACGACAATATAAAGTAAGATTTGCATATCATGACCCAAGTGAAGATCGCTGGTTCACAAGAGAAGAATTGATTGAGTCTGCACCTCCTATTGTATCTGCTTATGAAGGAGCCAGAAGAGGAATAAGCATCATAGATAGATGAAGGTTTTCTCGGAGGACTTCGAAACTAGGTCGGCGAGAGTAAAAGGGTCTTTACCTGCTCAGACCCTGAATGACGCACGCAGCATAATGGGGCCCACTCGCCCACAGCTCAATTCGTGAAAAGCAGATCGAAATACATGTTCAGTGGGTCAAAAGTCACATCCTAACTGAAGTGAGGAGCTGTGTCAAAGGTCACAGTCGTGCCCCAGGACGAACAGGTGCAGCATTCAATTGTGAGAGTCACATATGTTCGTCCAGGGGGCTGTGCAAGTCATGTCTGTTCGTGCAGTAGATGTGTCTGTTCGTGCAAAAGTTGTGTCTGTTCCAACGGTAGTCGATGGGGTAGAGTCCCAGTCCAAGTCAAAGTCCAATAGACAGTCCAGATTCAGACCAAAAGTCCAAAATTCAGGCCTAAAGGCCGCAACATCAGACCCTGAGGGAAAGATACTGGGACACATTCTGCAGTGGTCTGGGGCTGCGGAAAGACCCAAGGAAGACTGATTCAAACCTCGCGAAGGGAGGCCAGCATTATAAGAGACCAGGCCAGCCTCCCCACACGACAGATCTCCACTGGCACTGATGCGTGGAAGTTTTGAAGCACTTGTGCACTAGCATGCAGGGAGAATGCGCTGGCTGGAAGCTGCGCAAGTAGAGGAAGAAGAGGCTGGGCGCTGACTGGCAGAAGCAGCCATAGCTGCGCCAGCATTATTAGTAGAAGTAGAGGGGTTAGTAGTAGACATCAGTGNGAAGAAGAGGCTGGGCGCTGACTGGCAGAAGCAGCCATAGCTGCGCCAGCATTATTAGTAGAAGTAGAGGGGTTAGTAGTAGACATCAGTGAGTAACATTCATAGTAGATCCTCATAAGTAGGGAGTGAGCATGCAGAGTGAGACAAGGGAACCAAGACAGGGATCTCGTGAGGAAGAGCGAGAGAGGACAGGTTAAAGGATGCAATCAGACTCGACTTATTCACACTTCTCATGCACGTGAACAGCAGCACACAACTGGTGACTTGCGCCCACACAGTACACAGGGATATGTCTTCCAGGTAAGTTCGCTTCCACTGGCTATGGCGACTGTGCGCCTCAAACACTCACTGTTCACACTCTGGATCACCCTGGATGTCCCACACGCAATACCGAGTACACACACACAGTACACACACTCTTCCCCTAAGCTACAGCTATGGCGGCTATGGCCGCTGCTACCCTACTGCTATGGCTACAGTACGTCACTCTCGCCCTCTCCGTCTTCGGGCCTTCTGCAGACCTCCTCGCACAAGCTGCTAAGGCAGCGCTTCCGCATGGCTTCCGCAGGAATGAATACTGGCTGGACGCAGCCTCTTGATTTATACTTCTGCGCTGCGTTGGTCTGCCCTGTGTCCCTTGGCCCCTGGTGCTCACAGTCCCAGACGGTACTTGCTGGACAGGACCGGACTGCCTAACTGGGACTGTTGACTCAGCGAGGTGGCCTACCATCACTTGACCACTTGCCTCTGTTCAACGCAGGCTTACTCCGAAAGGCCACTTCTAGAAACCTCTAACTTGGCCTTTCGGTACTGTAGGAGCTACGACTTTGCCCCTTCAGGTAAGTAGCAGCTACGACCTTGACCCTTCAAACATCCTACAACTACGACTTCGGAACTGTTTAGACTCCTACCCTACAGGTCTACAGTTCGATTCCCTTCTACCCTGTGACCTACGAAAACCTACCTACCACTGGCGGTCCTACAGGT